TTTTCATGGTTTGACTGCTCCCTCTGCAAACTGATTGCGAATTATCTGCCGACGCATGTCGTAAACATCAAAATCTTGATAGTGGTATTTTAGATTTACCTACTTTGTCAGATTGTCTCATGTGTTTGATCTTGGTAACATATGTAACTTTATACTTCTACCAATTGTTATTCATATGTCTTGCCCACTTATCATTTGCTGTCTCAAATTTTTCGTGTGGTCTTAAAAATTTTTTTTGTATAAGTACGGAAATCATTTAATAGTTTTTGGATGCATTTCCTAATTGTGCATATCCTAACGAAAGTTAAATATTTCCCGCCACATTGCTCCCTCGAAATACGTAATATCATAACACTTGCAGTGCAATAGTTACTAATTCAACTCATAATAACAATTAATGTTTATAGATTGCTTATCAGTCTGCGGCAAAAGTTGTAACACGTGCGGACGGAAACCCACACGACCTCTTTCTCCCCGGTCAAGGACAAGGTAGTGATTCATTCTATCAATACATTCATAATTATTATACTTTCGTTTTTATTTTTCATCAACAATATGGCACAATCAATAAATCAAAATGTGTCGTTCCCATGTAGATGCCTTCAAGAGTGAATGAAACATAACAGTCTAATATGTAAATTTACCTTGCTGTGTCGACTGTATTACCGTACTATTATCTTTTCATTAAATAAAGCTAGCAAGTGTTTACAATGTAAACTATCCGACCAAATGAGCTTAGCTGAGTGCTTGATGAAACCAGAAACTGATCCAGACAAATATGAAATATGTCAAACTTCACGCGTGAGTAGTGATTATCTTATGTGTATGCCGTATCTTAGTTTTGCAATGGTTGATGGGATACACTCATTTTTAAATTAGACAAACTTCTTCAAAATGTAAGACATCACCCGTTAAGCTTTAAATTGAATACATTGAACTAAAGTCAGGATTGATTAGACAATTAATCTAGTACGTTGTTATTTTTATAGCCTGAATGTATGACTCAACTATGGCAAAAAAATACAGGTTTGGTTTTCGTATCTGAATGTCAACAACTGGAGGTGAGTTGACTATTTATTTACTTGTTAATAATATCTAACGAAAATGTGTGCGATATATATTACCATGGAGACGATGCATTCACAAAAATATTATGATTATGTCTTAAAGCAGGAGGGTCGTCACCTGCGCACGCGCGGGAACTGAGTCCCAAGCGACGATAACAACATACGGTAAAAACGGAAAGACTCATGGGTAGACGCTTGTTTGTAAACAATGACACGCTATGGTGATCTGACGCATGTGCAGGTGAAGACTCTCCCGCTTTAAACACCATGCAACGTTTGTAAATATAATATATGTACTTTCTTATTCATTCATGTGTAATAATAGTCACCAGATTAACAAAAGCTATTAATTAGGCATTGTATATTATCATATATCAATGTATATTAATATTTAGCTATAAATATTTTAGTTCAAAGGACAACCTTCAACACGGATTTTTACTTTCAGGCTTGTATCGAAGAATCCGAAAATGAACCACATTTTAATGAATGTGATGAAGCGCCAATCTACGTGAAGACCAAGTGTCGATATTGCTGTGATAACAACACTATCACCCAAGGGTATTACTGCCCACCACCACGAAGTAATCAACTTATAATTTAGATTATTTGAGTGTACACTGAATGTGCGTCATGGTCGTAAAAACATACAACACATTGCATCATAATACCAGACAAGTAAACATACCGTTCATAACATGCACCAAAGAAATGCCGGTACAGAAGATTAATGGCTAGCGGGTTGCATTTTGGCGTTTTATAAAAGTTCGGGTGTATCGCCTTGTCATGTAGCTTAAATGTATTTTTGCAAACCATGGAACACTAACTGTTGAGTATCAGCAACTCATGATATCATGATCGACCAGCTGTCCTACGAGTAACTGTACAAAAACTGTCGTGCATATTGATCAGACATGCAAGCAACATTTTTTATTAATTTACCTTACACAGCGACGATGTAGATCTAGAACACTAGTCTAACAATGTACGTCATTTGTGACATTAACCAATCTTGTCTTTGTTTCTCAGAGACGGTCAATTGCACAGTGTGCGGAGATCCACGTTTCAAGACTTTTGACGGATATCACTACCACGAGGGCGGGGACTGTGAACTGTACACCCTGCTGCATATGAACTGTAGCATGCATGACTTAAAAGTGAAAGTTAGCGAGTTGAAAACCAAAGACCATTATCGTGTGAAAGAACTGTTTCTGGAACAGTACGGTGAACAATTGATACTTGGTGTTAATAATGGTGTAGACCCTGTCACATTCACGGTGAGCATTCCTCTGTATAACACTGTTCTCGGTAATAATATTATTTATTGCAATCATTTGCATTTAAAACATGATCATTGATCAGTCAGGAAGGCCCATGTACATATCTGCTATTGTTGTTTTCAGCTGATACCCAGTGGCGGTACCCCAATAGATGAAACGGATTTCCCAGGTTGGCATGGATCTTTCAACCAATTCTTATTAAGTAAACATGGTGAATGTTACCACATAACAATGGATGTGGATGCTGATGGTTTCTACGACCTGGTCGTCAAATGGTGTGTCAGGAAGGTGGAACTCGAACTCTCGCAGCCCTACAGTGGTTGTTATCATGTGCGAGGTTTATGTGGTGACGCGAATGGTTCCCCAGAGTATGATAGAATAACACCAGCCAACACGAATGCGACCAGTGATGAAGAATTTCATGAATGCTGGGGTGAAGGGTGAGTGTAATCGAAATGATTTATTGAAACAATGGTTCTGTGAACAAAATAATCGCACATAGCGCATAACCCATTCATAATGCTTCTATTAAATTATTCATGCCAATGTATTATCGTAACAGTGCATCAACATCATTACTGTCTGAACACATGTGTAGCATCG